CAGCTTCTGGGACATGTGGCCAGCATGACTAAGCCGCTTCTGGCCAACCAGAGCAGCGCACGGAAACGCCATTTACCTTCCCACCGGAGCGGTACCTATTTATCTACTTGCACTTTGACGTGCTTTCGAACTGCTAGGTTGGCAGGAGCAGGGACCGAGAAACGGGAGCTCACTCCGTCGCGGGGATTCGAACCGCCGACCTTCTGATCGGCAAGTTCTAGGCTCTGTGGTTTAACCCACAGCGCCACCCACATCCCAATGCAATACATAAAACACAATAGTCCGGAGGGCACTGGGTTTGAAAAGGTTGGACAACAGTGTTTAATACAGGATGAGATAATTTCCTGGGAACATGGTGACCTTAAAGAGCTCATCTTCGCCACTTCCCTTCAACAGCTTAAGGGATGCTTGGTGTGGGTTGCTGTTGTTTTTAGCTCACCTTCTCACTTAAATCATCCTCTTCCAAGTCACAGCTGCTCTCTCTCTCTGTGTGTGAAAAAATAGAATAGTGAAAATAAAATTAGATCTGGCCGCTGACGACTTAAAAACAAAAAAAAAGAATGCCAGCATCACATACTTTGAGTGTAGGAGGTGAGAAAGGAAGGCTTGAGAGCAAACAAGTCTGTGTTTGGGATTGTCTGGGAGAAGAAGGGAATTAGAAAGCGTGATGACTTTAAGAAATATGGGTGGTGGCAAAGTCTTGGGCAGTGACTGGCTGAGCTGCTGTGACATCACAAGAAGGATATATATATATTCTATTTTACAATTTAGAATATTCATTTATACAATCTTAAAATATCAATGATTTCCATGAAGGCAGCCATGTTTAGGGAAGCTTTTAATGTGTGATGTATTATGGTATTTTAATATTTTGTTGAAAAGCCGCCCAGAGTGGCTGAGGAAGCCTAGCCAGATGGGCGGTGTATAAATAAAAAAATTAATTTATTAAATTATTATTATTAATTATTATTATTATTATCTTTCCGTGGTTCATTTTACATCGTATAAATTTCTGCATTTTTTATATAATCTAAACCATTAAATATTCCATTATTACTTCTATAAAACCTATTTACACTGTTGAAATAATAATAATTTATTTATACCCCACCCATCTGGTTGGGTTTCCCCAGTCACTCTGGGTGGCTCCCAACAGAATATTAAAAACACAATACAGAAATAAACATTAAAAACTTCCCTAAATAGGGCTGCCTTCAGATGTCTTCTAAAAGTCAGATAGTTGTTTATTTCCTTGACATCTGATGGGAGGGCGTTCCACAGGACGGGTGCCACTACCAAGAAGGCCCTCTGCCTGGTTCCCTGTAACCTCACTTCTCGCACTGAGGAAATAGCCAGAAGGCCCTTGGAACTGGACCTCAGTGTCCGGGTTGAATGGTGGGGGTCGAGACGCATTATTTTAATGCTGACATCATTTTCAAGTGTACACAATTTCCCCCCATATATTCAACAAACATTTTCCAATCTTCTTCAAACGAATGTTGTTCTTGTTCTCTTATTCTGTATGTTAGATCCGCAAGCTGTGCATATTCCAATCAGTTTAAGTTGCCATTCTTCTTTGGTTGGGACCTCATATTCCACCTCTAGTCCTATGATTCCTTTGCTCATTTGGGATTATGGCAGAGTGAACAATGCAGCCATCCCCTGGAGATGAAAGCCACACACACACACACACACACACACACACACACACGCACGCAAACACAAACACTTTAATCCTCAAATATGGGCGACAGAGAACAAGTGTATCCGAAGGAACATTTTGTGCGGTCTATTTCCTGTTTATCACACTAATGGTGCCATATGGGGTTTATTCTGTCATTCTGGACTATATTAAACACGGCAGCTGTGGCTAAAACTCACTTGAAAAATTCCCCTTGGAGGTCTGGCAACCAGATCATAGAATCAGAGTTGGAAGGGATACCAAGGGTCATCTAGTCCAACCCCTACAATGCAGGAACTCTGCCCACCTTGAACCTTCTTGTTCACAACCAGATGTACAGACCCACTGCACCACAGGACTGCCTTGCTGCCTTCTGCTTCCAACAGTTTGGAAAACCAGGAGGCTGTCTGTCAGACGAAAAGTGGGTGGTGATGTCGCCTGAAGGTTTTGGAAGCCTTGGCTTCAAAGACCGACTGTGAGTCGTACACCTGTGAGCTCCATCTTTGTCAGACCTGACTCGTAGTCCAGTGGTGGAGCATTTGTTGTACATACAGAAGGTCTCAGGATCAATCTCCAAGTAGGTCTTGGGAAGATCCCTGCATGAAACCCTGGAGAGCTGTTGCCAGTCAGTGTAGACGATACAGAGCTCAATTACTGAGCTCGATCCTGACTCTGGCTCAGCCCTTGGTCCTGCAAGCAAGGTGACAAGGTGTATTAATGGCGAGCACGGTTTGCACCTCAAAGAGTGCCAGGCTTCAGGGAAAGGCGTACCCCCTCCCTTTGTCCGTGGATAAGCAGAACAAAGCAAAAATAGTCTCTTACCATTTAAAGAGATTTTAATGGTCACAGCGAAAGAACAAAGAGTCCATTCTCGGAGTAAAGGTGCTCCCAATTAAGGTTCCCACCCACTCCCCCCTTGATTCACCCTCTTCACTTCCTTTCTTGCAACTTGATCTTGCAACCACTGTGCCTTCTGTGCAGCTACCTTATCTAATCTCCGTGACCTTGGATTGATCGGCTGGACACTTTCCAGTGAACCAGAGTCTCTCCCGGTCCTTCTTCTCCTAGCTGTTCATGACCCAGTTCTTCCCAGCTTCTGCCTTCTGAACTATGTCCCTCTGCGAACCGCTGTTCCAAATCTATACTGTCCCACTGCTCCTGATCAGGATCATAATAATAATATATAATAATAATTTATTATTTATACCCCGCCCATCTGGCTGAGTTTCCCCAGCCACTCTGGGAGGCTCCCAATCAAGTGTTAAAAACAGTACAGCGTTAAATATTAAAAACTTCCCCGAACAGGGCTGCCTTCAGATGTCTTTTAAAGATAGGATAGCTGCTTATTTCCTTCACATCTGAAGGGAGGGTGTTCCACAGGGTGGGCGCCACTACCGAGAAGGCCCTCTGTCTGGTTCCCTGTAACCTCACTTCTCACATTGAGGGAACCGCCAGAAGGCCCTCGGCACAGGATCTCAGTGTCCAGGCTGAACGATGGGGGTGGAGACGCTCCTTCAGGTATACAGGACCGAGGCCGTTTAGGGCTTTAAAGGTCAGCACCAACACTTTGAATTGTGCTCGGAAACGTACTGGGAGCCAATGCAGATCTCTCAGAACCGGTGTTATGTGGTCCTGGCGGCCGCTCCCAGTCACCAATCTAGCTGCCACATTCTGGATTAATTGCAGTTTCCGGGTCACCTTCAAAGGTAGCCCCACGTAGAGTGCGTTGCAGTAGTCCAAGTGGGGGCCCTGTGCAGCCCTCCATATATTTCCTTGTTCTCTTCACACAAGTCTGGCAGGAACACTTCCCACGCTCCCAGAAAAAGCGTCTTTTTACTCTCTCCTCTAAAGGTGCCTCCTGGCAGGTTTGCAAGCTGCATTGCCTCCCCCAAAACTTGGCAATCTCCACCACCATAACTTGACGCTGGAGGGTAAACATTGAGATGCAAGACAAAGGCGAAAAATGGAGTGAGATTCTGCAGGCATGGTGGGATCCAAGACTCCATTAGAGCCCCATTCCCTGGACACATTTCCTTCACCCCATTGTCAGCTCGACATCCTTGTTTTGTTTTGTACACTAGGCTGCTTTCTGCATGCACTCACACATGGCCATAGTTCCCTATCAGAGCACCTGCTTTGCATGCAGAAGGTTCCCAGGTTCACTCTCTAGTTAGGAGTGCACCACAGCCTGATGATGACCAGCCTTTGGTAACAGAGAGGTGGGCTCTTTCATTCGTGGCACCATTGCTGTGGAATGCCCTCCCAGCTGAAATGAAAACAGCCTCATCAGTATTGGCATTCCACCGGCCCTTAAAGACACACCTGCTTATCTCCTTATCTCCTGGCTTGAATCTTTAGCTGTGATTCCTGCATTGCAGGGAGTTGAACTCGATTTGGGTCCCTCCCAGCTCAACCATTCCACTATTCTGTCTCCTGCTTTGTTTGTTAACTGTTACACTGTTTTTTAATGGACATGTTTTAATTATGGAAGTTGTAAAGTAGTTTATTTTACTAGATATTTTATTTACGGGTAGCTGTATTTTCAGAACTGATTTTACCCTTGTTAGTTGGCTTTTATTTGTTTGTGAACTGCTGTGATATTTCTTCTTGACATGAAAGGCAGCAAATAAATTCTAACAGTAGTAATAGTAGTAGTAATAATAATAGTTTAAATTTGGATTGTTGGATTAGTCTTACTGTTAATGCAAGTTGATGTTAAGGCAAACATAACTGAGCTATTATGCAAGTGCATTTTGCAATTTTATAAGCTGTGTGACTTGGTTGCTCAGCTCAGTCTTTTTACACGATCTTTTATGTGCTGTGGTCTTTTAGGTCTTGTGACTTTGTTGTTATTGATTACAGTCTAGTAATGATTTGTTGTAATCGTCGAGGGTGAATTTCTGTTTCTTATTTGCTGGTATTTTGAGAGTTAATGTTCTTGTGCAATATTATATTTGAAATGAATTGTTGAATGTTACTTTATTTGATGTGAGTTTATTTTAAAGCCATGTGACTTATTTGCTTTGGATTGGATTGTTATCAGATGTGTGACCTTTGTTTGTATATTTTGCAGCTTCAACGGCTCGTACGCTGCCTTGTGTACAGCAACATGGAAAGACAGCGTGCGAATTAAATGTGAAATGAAAATGAAATGCTGGTCTATTTATTTTCTTTCTGCAATATGTATACTTGAGTTCATAATGGCCTGGCTTGATGGCACTGTGTTTAGTAAGTGGTGCTGACTGGGGAGGGGAGGGGGGTTTGAGAAGCAGCTCTTGCCAATGATTGGCTAATGTCGGGGGAGAGCGAGAGAGTCAATGAAACTGCCTGCAAACCCTGAAGCACTGCACAGCGATCGGAGCCGGCTAAGAGCGAGGAAGCATCTGATGTAGACTAAAGCCAGGGAGATGCAGCACCCTCCCTTTAAACTCAGGATCTGTCCTTCTGCGCACACCGCTGTGCATCGCTGGGATCCTTGAACAAAGCAAAGAATCTGGTCTGCTGATGTTTCTGGGGGATTTGGGAAAGAAAGAAAAAACTTTGGCAGAGAGAAATTCTGCCTTCCAGAACTGCAGGAGAGAGAGGAGGAGGAATGATTCAAAGTCCAAAGATTGATTCTCGAAAAGGTGACTGCTAGATCGCTCCTTCTGAAGAGGCTGTGTGGAAGCTGATTTGAGCATCATGGGTTGTCCCAGAACAGGTCAGGGACTCCTGTAGAACGAGACATCCCAGCGGAAAGCATGCCTGCAACAACCCACGTTCAAGTGTGTGGCTTCTCTTCCCAAACTTCCAGCTAGAGCATCTCTGCTTGAACAGAAGATCTGGACAAAGCCCAGGGCGAAGATCAACTTCTGTGAGAAGGAGGCTGGGGGACAACCAGACATTGGAAACGCTCACCAGGACTCTTGGTAGGTCTTCTCCACCCCATTCCATTTAATGCTTGGTGTTGGCCAATTGTGTAGAAGTGCAGCACTGCTGGATCAAAGCCCATCAAATCCAGCAGAAGTCAGCCAGATCCGCAAAGAAGCCTACACAGATTCTTTTGAGAAGCCTACATTAGCAACAACTTTCTCTGTTCTGAAGGTGTTCTGGGGCAGACAAGAGCAGGGGGATTTTTTTGAAAAGAGATTTTTCAGTGGCTGGAAGCCCTGTTTGATCCCTTCAATAATGTCTGACCAGGAGATGGATGACTATGACATGGACAGCCTGTCTGACACATCGCGAATGATCAAGGGACTTCCGCCTTACAACATGGATGATCAGCTGCTGCCCATGGAGCGCCGTAGCACCTGCGGCTGCTGGGCCTGGACATGCCTGGTGGCAGCAATGAACTCTTTGGCCTTCCTCTTGAACTTCCTCTTGATGGCCGCCATCTTTGCCATTGTGCTCCTGCCCACCATTGTGGTGGTCTACTTTGGGTTCCAGTGCCATTCCCGGGTAAGTGACATGCGACTTGCAGATGCTTCTGGTTAGGAAGCCCAGTCCCTCACCTTGCATCAGAGGGTTAGGCAACGTGGTGCTCCCCTGCCCCATATAGCTGGACTAGGGATGCATGTGGCACTGTGGTCTAAACCATTGAGCCTTTTGGGTCTGCCAATTAGAAGGTCAGTGGTTCGAATCCTTGCAACGGGGTGAGCTCCCGTTGTTCTGTCCCAGTTCCTGCCAACCTAGCAGTCTGAAAGCATGCCAGTGCAAGTAGATCAATAGGTACTGCTGTGGCAGGAAGGTAAGTGGCATTTGCACGCACTCTGGTTTCCGTCACAGTGTTCTGTTGCAGTGTTCCCCAACCTTGGGCCTCCAGCTGTTTTTGGACTACAATTCCCATCATCCTTGACCACTGGTCTTGCTAGCGAGGGATGATGGGAGTTGTAGTCCAAAAACAGCTGGAGGCCCAAGGTTGGGGAACACTGTTCTGTTGCACCAGAAGCGATTTAGTCATGCTGGCCACATAACCTGGAAAGCTGTCTGTGGACAAACGCCGGCTCTCTCGGCCTGAAAGCAAGATGAGCACTGCCTTTGACTGGACTTAACCGTCCAGGGGTCCTTTACCTTTACCTTTATTAGGTGGACTACAACTCCCATCATCCCATACCATGGGCTCTACCATTTGGGGCTGATGGGAGCTGTAATCTGAGAGGCACAGATTTCCCACTCCCGGCCAACTGTTCTTAGAATGGCTGATAAGATCATAGAGTTTTCAAAGCATTTTTTCCTAGGGGGGGCATTTCCCTGCATTAACTTTACCCACACATTTATAAAAGGATGGATGAGGCGGGCAGGACATGATTTCTAAATGCTGAAACATGTCCCCTATGCACACTCCCAGATGCCCCATAGTCTGTGTTACTCTTTCACATGTTCCCAGGACGAGTCTTTGCATTCAAACAAAGAGGCTTCAGAGATAGTGGGAGGCCACATACCTTGCTCCCCAAAGTGGCAGCAACTTGGCCCCACCAGAGGTTTGTAGGCTACAAATCCCATCACCCTCAACTCACTGGCTATAGTGGTTAGAACTGATGGAAGCTGTAGTCCATTAACATAATGGCGGGGGAAAGGACCACCTCTTTCCGTATGAACCTACCTGGACCCTGAGATCATCTTCTGAGGTCCTTCTTCATGTGCCTCCTCCTTGAGAGGTCCAGAGGGTGGCAACACGAGAACGGGGCCTTTTCTGCAGTGGCTCCCCATCTGTGGAATGCTCTCCCCAGGGAAGTTCACCTGGCGCCTTCATTATACACCTTTAGGCACCAGGCAAAAATGTTCCTCTTTAACCAGGCCTTTGGTTGATCTGATTTACATCCTATGCCCTTTTAAAATGTGGGGTTTTTTGGGGGGGGAGGTATTGAGTTGCTGTTTTTATTTTTATTAGGTATTTTGTGGTTTTATATCTTGAATTTATTCTGTGAACTGCTCTGAGACCCCTGGGTGTAGGGCAGTATATAAATTCAAATAATAATAATAATAATGGTTTCATTTACCTTGTATTGGGAGGTTATGGCGGGTCTTGTATAAAAAAAATAATATCTTCTGTAAAACTTTTTTTTGTGCTTTCAGTTTAGCATAACACTGTTTTAGTTTAGGAAGAACATGTTGGGTAATGGGAGACATCATAGAAGCGTATCGATCATGGAGAAGGCAGCGTTGATGGAATTGGCCTCTTCCCTTGTCTAAAACATGCCCGGAGGCAGTGTTTCTTAAAACAGGAATAGGGAACTTCAGGCCTGGGTGGGTCAAGTGTGGCCCTCCAGGCCTCTCCAGCTGGCCCCTGGAGCACTCCGCGAGCCACACACCCCAGTGGCCCTGCCAGGCTGGACTTAGATAAAGCCTCCTGCCTGCCTGGATGGAGGCTAGAGAGGGGTGTGTTAGTGTGTGCTGAAATGGCAAAGATAAACATTATATTTGTGCCTCTGCCCACTTTTGCCCCTGGCCCTGCTCACCACTGCCATGTAGCCCTTGGAAATCTTCCAGAAGGGAATGCAGCCATCCACCCTCTGCTTCAAAATGTCCCTTCAAAGAAGGAGAATCCCTCACCTTCCAAGTTATCCCATTCCACTGGGATGGGATAGCTCGGAAGACAGCTCTTGCTTTCAGAAAGTTCCTCCTAATATTTAATTAGAATCTCCTTTCCTGTTACTTGAAATCTATTGGTTTGGTTCCTACCCTCTGGAGCAGTAGAAAACAAGCTTCCTCCACACTCCAATTGGCAGCCCTTGAGATACTTGAAGATGGCTATCATATCACCTCTCAGTCTTCTCCTCTCCAGGCTAAACATAACCAACTCCTTCAACCCTTCCTCATATGGCTTGGTTTCCAGTGTGCCAAATTTCATTGTGTAAACGTATCATTACATGTGTCATTTTGTATGTTTATGCTGTAGACCACCCTGTGATTTTTGGATGAAGGGCCGTATATGAATTTAATAAATAATGATAATAATAAATAATATAGAAAACATTGGCTGGTGCCCATTGTGGGCTGGCAGGGCAGAGTGCAGGGAGCCCAAACAGTGGGCGGAGCCAGAGCCAATGATTGGCTGAGTCAGAGCCACTAATAAGCAGAGGCAACTCATTCTAGTTCTTCATCTGCTCAAGGGAACATTGAAACTAAGGAGGTCAAACACCACCCTCTTGGACTGGATGGTAGTGAGAAGGCGAGCAAATGGGGGCTGGCTGAGGATAGACTGAGGTTGGTGGATCAGTTAACCACACTAAGGGGCCAGTCTCCATTGGAAAACAATGGGCTTATGAAGCAGCTTTCATGGTCAGAGCTCTGGAAAAAAGCCAAGACCACTCCAAATTTTCAGCACCAGCTAGCAATGGACAGCGCCAATTTGCCAGTACTTTTCTCAGGATGTGGCTTTGACATTTCTCACTCTTGTGGCTTCAGACTCTTCTGTTCTAGCAGTTCATTCGGTTACAGAAACCTGGCTGGACCAAAGCTCTGGCTTAGATGGGGTGTGAGAAGCTGAAACTTGGCCAAGAAGAAGGGTGTGTGCGGTTCTCATTTTAAAGCCACTAAATGCAGGTGGGCTTTCACGGGGACTTTTTGCTTTATTAATTGCAAACTGATGCAAAAATCTGACGAACTAATTTAAGGCTGGGAAAATGAGAAACGGAAATGGATAGATTGGTCCGTCCTTATGCTGATTATGGTGATTAATGCCACTGAAATCATCAGGGCTCAGGAAAGCATTAGTAAACACACCAAATCAGTGCCGTCCTATGCATGTTGATTCGGAAGTAAATCCCCACTGGGCTGTATCAAACGAAGAGTAGAGTCACAAAAATGGACACAAAAAGAGCCTGTTAGATCAGGTCGATGGGCCGTCTAATCCAGCATCGTGTTCTCACAGTAGCCAAACAGATGTCCTGATGAGAAACCCTCCAGCAGGACCCAAACACAAGGGTCCTCTCCACTCCTGAGGTTTCCAGCATCTAGTATTCAGAAGCCTACAATTGAGCAGGCAGAGAATAGCCATAATGGCCAGTAGCCACTGATAATAGCTTTAAAGTTGCCCGGTCCTCCTTTAAAGCCATCCAGGTTGGTGGCCCTTCACTGCTTCCTGGGGGAAGCGAATTCCATAGCTTAACTACGCACTACGTGACAAAGTCCTTTCTTCCGTTTGCCCTGAAATCTAACGTTCTAGGGAGTCTATGATTTCTAGGGATAAAAGCTTTCCTCGATCTATGTTCTGCATGCCATGCATAATCTTATAAACGTCTATCATGTTATGGTCTAGGGTGCATGTGTTGGGGTACTGCGTTTATCCTTGAATACTCTCCAGAATCCTTTAACATGAGAAGAGCCATAATAATAATAATAATAATAATAATAATAAATTTATTTATACCCTGCCCATCTGGCTGGGTTTCCCCAGCCACTCTGGGCAGCTCCCAACAGAATATTAAAAACACGATAAAACATCAAACATTCAAAACTTCCCTAAACAGGGCTGCCTTCAGATGTCTTCTAAAAGTCAGAAAGTTATTTATTTCCTTGACATCTGAAGGGAGGGCATTCTGCAGGGCGGGTGCCACTATCAAGAAAACCCTCTGCTTGGTTCCCTGTAACCCTGCTTCTCGCAGTGAGGGAACAGCCAGAAGGCCCTTGGAGCTGGACCTCAGTGTCCAGGCAGAATGATGGGAGTCGAGACGCTCCTTCAAGTGTAGATCAGGCCAAAGGCCCATCGAGTTCAGCACACTCTGCTTGCAGTGGCCAAGCAGATGCCTCTGGGAAGCCCATAAGCAGGTTTCCAGCAACTGGAATTCAGAAGCGTTACTGCCTCCAACCATGAAGCGAGTGCATAGCCATCAACTCCTAACATCATGCTTGCTGGGTCAGATGAGAGTTGTAGTTCAACAATATCCCGAGGGCCAAAGTGTCCCTACTCCTGCTGCAGATTTAAGAAAAGAAAGCGTGAAAGTCGGAGCCAGGAGATGTGGGGAGGAAAGCAAATTATTATGCATTCTTAAAAAAAAAAAAAAAGCCCACGAAAATAGCTTTGCAGTAATTACCAAACCTCTGTGACAATCTGGATAAATACAGCAACGTCTCGGCTGACAGAGGATCCTTCCCAGCGCTGATTACTCACCGCAGTTTTTTATTTTATTGTCACAATATTTCTCTCCATTTCCTCACCACCCTCGATTCCCTCCCCGCTTTTGCCAGCAGCCCTCCTGCTTTTGTCTGCGCTTGCCTTCACGCAGGCTGAAATCTCTTTAATTTCATTTTAATTAAGGCTGCTCCCTGCTAGATGCAATTCGTCTATTCAATTAAACAGTGAAAGGAAGAGTGTGTGTGTTTGTGGGGGGGGGGGGGAATATCCGGCCACTGGCAGCAACCGTAGAAACAGAATCTACCCTACAGCCGCGGATCCCAGAGCGCTGCGCGGGCTTCCTTCCCAGCCTCCGCTGGACAACCTGCAATTTATTCAAATT